TGGTTTCTATTAGTTTTTTGTTATGGAATATTTAAAACAGACATGAAAAGTAGAGATAATACTACAATGATCCTGCATATACCCATCACCTAAATTCAGCACTATTAAGTTCTAAATACAGCAGGATTGTTGACATTTAACAAATCCTAGAAATTGACATTTCACCTCTGTATACCTCTGGGGTGTATCTCTAACAAATGGTTTTTTACTCCTTTAGGTCTTTTTTTTTTTTTTTTTAACATTAGTAAGGCCCTACCATGGAAAATCTGAAATCATCAAAGTGAAAGAAATGTTTATCACTTCTTTATTCATATAGTATTAATCTGGGTTAGATCAGGTTAGAATTTCTTAAAATGAAGCTTATTTAGTCTCCACTTTCTCTTAACTCCCAAGAGAAACACTAACTTTTCATCTTTCAGTTTTGTGAAGAGTTTAAAGAAAAGTGCCCTATCTGTGTCCCCTGTGGCCTGAGGCTGGCTGAGAAAACACAGATTGCCATCGTCAGGCATTTTGGCCTTCAGATCCTGGAACATGTTGTCAAGTAAGGCATTTTAGGACTTTACCACTAAAGTACGTGAGAGAGCAAATCTTTATTTCTTAGATAACTCATAGAGATGTTCTTTAAAAACCTGTTGCCGTCAAGTTGGTTCCAACTCATAGCGACCCTGTAGGACAGAGTAGAACTGCCCCACAGCTTTCCAAGGTTGTAAGTCTTTATGGAAGCAGACTGCCACATCTGTCTTCCTTAGAGGAGCTGGTGGGTTCCAACTGCTGACCTTTCAGTTAGCAGTCAGACGCCTCCAGGGCTCCCTAGATGTTCTTCAGGTAAGTAGAAAAGAGCAGTCCTCAAGGGAAAAAGGAATAATCCCCAAAGTTATCATAACCTCCAGAGAACCCTTCATCCACATGAAATGCCTGGTACATATGAAGCATTCAAAAAATATTAGCTGCTAGTCACTCAGCCAGCATTTATTGAGTTTCTACTATATACCAGCAGATCTCAAAGCCTTTTTAGAAGTGTGCAATGTATAAATAAATTTGTGATTAGACATTACTTTTGGTTTTCTTTGTTTACATTTGAGTGTGTACCTTATCTGAATGGCACATCAAAGCAAGATTATATGTGAATAACCAAAAGCTCCTTCTAACTTGAGTCTCCTACCCTCAAAGTCTGTCACAGAGGTCCAGTTTTAAGACTTAGCCACAGATTTTCTGGAAATGTGCTATTATTACTTTGTAAACCAGGATAGTAAAGTAGTTGGTGGTATCAGATTATATTTTCTGGAAAAGCAACTATATTCTTATATTGTCCCAGATGTACATTTGCTTTCAGTCTCTCAATAAAGTCATGGGGGAAAGCTGATTTGTGCATAAATCCTATGTGGATTCCAATTAATGGAATGCTGCATATGTAAAACCCTTGCCAGGAATTTTACTGTTACTAGCATTTTGGTTAAATGTAAACTGTTTTTGTCCATTCTTTGAAGGGTACAAAATCAAAAGTACGATTTTCTGATGAAATTGCCAGCATAATCTAACACAGGAATCAAAGCTAATCTCTTCGGAAGAGAAGACTTCTAATGGGTTCTGTTGACTTTCTCCCTTTTGGTGGCCAGGTTTCGGTGGAACAGCATGTCTCGATTAGAGAAGGTGTATCTGAAGAACAGTGTCATGGAGCTGATTGCAAATGTAAGGAATGATTGGTTGGAAGACTTGTGTTTGCAAGGTAGTTTAGACAAAATGTGACTTCGTCAATTTGGCGTTTGTGTAAAAATTCACTGGTTCTACATTGGTCAAAGAGCATGTTCTGTATAACATTAAATGTTTACTTTTAAGGTAAAAGGACCATCATTAACAAGAAATCATAAGTCATCACATTTAACCAAAAAAAAACAAACCCACTGCCATCAAGTCAGTTCCGACTCACAGCAACCCTATAGAACAGAGTAGAACTGCCCCATAGGGCTTCTAAGGCTGTAAATCTTTAGAGAAGCAGACTGCCACATCTTTCTCCCACAGAGTGGCTGGTGGGTTTGAACTGCCAAGCTTTCAT